GTTTACTTTCTTCTTGAGAAGAATTCTAAGAAGAAAGTAAACCTACAGACATCGGTCTTGTTTAACAAAATCTGCCTACAAGAAAATCTGTCACCAAAGTACACCAATATCTACATGTGCCGATGTTTCCGGTTATCAACGTTATATTTTAAGATCGGTGCAAGAACTCAGCTAACAGATGTCTCCGCATATAAAAGCTGTCTTAAAGAATATTGTATAATAAACACTCTAGTTAGTATCACAAATATCATCAGCTTCATGCTAACATACTTTCAGTGTCAGATATTTTATCCAATCTTAAAAACTTTTCAGATTCTTATAAAATCTAGTATTTTACTGTAACAAAGGTAATGACAAATTTTATAATATAAGTAATTTTTGATAAAGAAATATTTTGTCCATAATTGGCGATGTCTATGATATAATGCATGTCCATATTCACAATTGGATTAATGGTTTTTTTATCTATTAGTTATACCTCGAAGTTCCCTTAATGGTTTTTATATCTATTAGTTATACCTAGGAGTAGCATTAATGGTTTGTTTATCTACTAATTATACCTAGGAGTTGCATTAATGGTTTCTTTATCTATTAGTTATGCCTAGGAGTTACATTAATGTTTTTTTTATCTATCAGTTATACCTAGGAGTAGCATTAATGGTTTGTTTATCTACTAATTATACCTAGGAGTTGCATTAATGGTTTCTTTATCTATTAGTTATGCCTAGGAGTTACATTAATGTTTTTTTATCTATTAGTTATACTTAGGAGTTGGGTTAATGCTTTTTTATCTATTCTTATACCTAGGAGTTGCATTAATGCTTTTTTATCTATTCTTATACCTAGGAGTTGCATTAATGGTTTTTATCTATTAGTTATATCTAGGAGTTGCATTAATGGTTTGTTTATCTATTAATTATACCTAGGATTTGTATTAATGGTTTTTTATCTATTAGTTATACCTAGGAGTTGCATTAATGTTTTTTTTATCTATTAGTTATACTTAGGAGTTGTGTTAGCAGCAGTGGTAATCATCACCGGATGTTTTTCATATTACCAAGAAGCTCGAAGTTCCAAGATAATGGAGTCCTTTAAAAATATGGTTCCTCAGGTAATATTTTCTCATTTTCTTCAGAAATTCATTAGTCTAAGTAGCTTGTTAGGAGAAAAATAACAATAAACAACATATAAAATATAACTTTTAGTCTGAACACTGTCAGTCTCTAAATGCGTACGCTAGTTTTTGAAGTAGTTATTTGTTATCCAATTATAATTTTAAAACTTGTTCTGTGCTAGTAAATATTGTATTAGAAAAGATGACGATAATAACAAAACAGGAATGTCGATATGTAATATGTCATGAACCATGAAAGTGGTTCATAATAGGGATCGCAAAGAATTGCACACAACTTTAATAGAACGTTCGGGCAAAAAACACCTTAAACAGTAAAGAGTCAGTTTAAACAACAATTTAAAACCTTTGCTATCGACTACTAAGGCTGTACACATATATACTGCACAAAAAAGCACACATGTTAGGCTTAAAATGAAAAGAAAATCCGCTCAAAACAGCCTGTTTGTAATTATTATTATTCTCTTGCCAGCCTACAACAAAAATGGCTTGGTATATTGCACCCAAACCTTTTGTAGAATACTAAATACGGTACTGCAAAAGTTGTAGAGGTATTGAAAAAATCGATTTGTTTCTTCTATATTTTACATAAGCTAAAAACCTCACAATGCTAGTGTAAACGATGTTATCATTACACCTTGAAGTCAGCCTTTTTTACAAGTATCTGGCGCTCCTTTAAAAAGCTTAAGTACAAGGTGAAACAGGAATTACCAGCCAATAATAGATGAACATTAGATGACTGTAACACGATTTGTACAGTATACAATCGGTGTCTTTAGGGAACCAACCACTATATTATGTACGAAGTAAAGGAGTAAAAAAATTAATACACATAATATTAAATTTTATTACACACATTCATAGAATAATTATTTTAAAAGACACGAAGATTTATTTAAAGCGATGTTTTAGACGTATGTTTTATTTGAAAAGGCTGCTTTTCTACTGATAAAATTTTATACGAGCTTAGAGGTGGTTGTGTCTAAGTCTAGGCATATATTTCCCCATTGCTATGCATTATATATATATAGAATTTAGTTACACAGAAGCTATAAATTCTCACTATTTTCTTCAACAAATCTCCAGCTGCAAGCTTAACATTTTACTTCTCGAACTAATGTGATCAAATATTCAATAGCTTCAGGAAATCATCATGAACCGTACCAGCTAGCTATGTTTATTATCATTACACTGTATAAAGTTAGCTACCATATTAAGTAATCATTTGCCCATAGTTGAGCATAAAAAAACCAACAAACAAAATAAATAAGAAATTGTGAATTTAAAACCTGTAAATAGGGGTCGTAAAAAAAGTAAGGACACATGGCTAGAGATACTGTAGACATTATTTGCTCAAACTAGAAGTCCATATTTTGATTCCACCAAATGTAATTATAGGTAACAGCATGGAGCCAAAATAGGGCTTTGTAGTTTGAATTAATAATGCCTACAGTATCTCCAGCCTTTGTTTTTTTTTTTTTTTTACTTTTTTACGACCCCTATTTGCAGATTTTTAAATTCCCAATTTTATATTTATGTTGTATCTTGTAACTTGAAATGCTACAGGAAAACAAAGGGTTAATCACACTTCATAAGAACGACCTGTAAATACAGTGGCGTGTCGTCGTAGATATGAATCGTAAAGCCACGGACGAAAAGCTTAGCATGTATTTATTTAGTTAACGGTTAATTCTCAATCTTTCGACAAAGCAATGCCAGTGCGTATGCTAGAGAAATATATAACGACGCCTTTTTGAGAAAGAATGCTCATATAATGAAGTTATTAAATGATATAGGGCCAAAGGACAATTTAAATCAAATTACTATTGTGATGAAAATGGACGTATCTCCTGTTACCATTAACAAGGATGAAAATGGGCATATTTTCTGCTACCGTTAATAAAATAATAAACAAGGGTATGAAGTGGACTGACGCTCTCCAGCTTTCAGCTACAAATCAAAATCAAAGGATGTTTCGTGAGAAAAATGGCATAAAAATTGGAATCAGAACAATCCCTTTCTACCATTCACTAACCTGTCAGTTCCTCAGCACAGCTCCAATTCTGGAACCTATTCTTGGAAGTCGATATCTACGTACAATAGAGGTTTTGTATAAAAGTTGATCAAGAGGTGTGATCTAAAACTGACTTCGCCGTCTTTCATAGTAGCTTGTCAGTAAATTTCGTTATTGGGTAATCTTAATAAATGTCACCGGCTTGAACACGATTGATGATGGAGAAAATACTGCAAAGGGTATACATCTGGAACATCACTCTGAGAATGTGCGAGTAACCCTCAATAGTTTAACGTAGAAAATGATCTGTTTGGTTATTTCTCTTTCCATTGGGAGTTTGTAAGATAATACATTTCCCAACTAACTTTAATCACCTACTATTTTAAACATTATATCTTTTTTAATACAGTCCCAACTATAGTTCCAGGTGCTAAGTCTGTATTATCTAATGTTGTTCTAATCTAAAGAAAAATTACATTCTGATTTATTTTACTTATGATAATCTGTTGATAAATGAAGAAACTCGACAGACTAGGACGATTTATATATAGACAAATAAATAAATAAAATATAAATACATTTACCGAACGTGGGATGTTGTAACCAATTTTTACAGAATATTAATTAGATTTGCACTGTCTGTAACTTAAAAAGCTGTAAGAGTTCTTCCTGAAACACATCATCTATAAACAATGATTGAGTTATATTTAACAACAGTATGCAACCGTAGTGCGAGATGGTCAGAAGTTCAGCATTCCGGCAGAAGAAGTTGTTGTTGGTGATATCGTGGAGGTTAAAGGTGGTGATCGAATCCCAGCAGATATACGGGTTATATCTTCCCACAGCTTTAAGGTGGACAACTCCTCCCTGACTGGGGAGTCTGAGGCCCAAACTAGATCCCCTGAACTTACCAACGATAATCCATTGGAAACGAGGAACTTGGCATTTTTCTCAACTAACTGTGTAGAAGGTATTGGTTTTATTTGAAATTTGTAATTGATAGATATAGAGCCAGTCTCGCTGTTATGATGATTCTGAAAAATTTGTAATCCACGGATAAGCTATGGGTGTGAGGAGAGAGAGCCAGAGTTCGCCACATACTAAAATATGTAGTTTTATAGGGCAAAATTCTTGCAAGATCAAACCATTTTAAGCTTCGTAAAATGCTTTTACCACGAGGATTACACCATTAGTCGAGTAGTTTTCGATTTCACAAACTACTAATTACATCATATATTTCAAAATTATGAAGAAGATTAATAAATAACAGCAGCGAAGTTTACACGACCTTAGTTAATATAAGTTATTAATACATTTTTCAATAACATCAGATGTCATGAATTATGCGAATTTATTCCTTCTTTGAGTTAATAAAAACAAAATAACCAAAAATACATACGCATCACTACACCTACAGTGCATTAATTAAATATCGTAGTTAGATAAGTCCTCCTTACACATTCTTGACACATGTTTGCGACACAACGCTTTGTTTTCTTTGAACTCTGTATCGCATAGAAACAGCAAGGAAACTTTTGTAGGTCAATAAAGTAAACCTTTCAAGGGGCTCTTTGATGAGCCAGCTTTTGTTAATTTTGTAGGTCAATCACATAAATCTTTCAGAGGACTCTTTGGAGAGTCATTTGTATTATTTATCTAGATCAGTAAAATACATTTTTCAGAGGACTCTTTGATGAGCCATTTTTATTGTTTATGTAGGTCGACAAGACCAATCTTTCATGAGGTTCTTTGGTGAGCCAAATTTTATTATTTATGAAGATCACTAAGACAAACATTCCATGGGGATCTTTGTTGTAATAACTTTTTCGATGTTTAGGTAGGTCAATAAGGCAAACCTTTCAGAGGTCTCTTTGGTTGGCCAACGTTTGTTATTTCCGCAGGTCAATAAGAGAAACTTTTCAGGGGACTCTTTTGTGAGCCAACTTTTTTTATTTTTGTAGCTCAATAATATAGATCTTTCAGAGGCATCTTTGGTAAGTAAAAATATTTGTTTATGTAGGCAAAAATAAACCAACCTTTCACGAGATTCTTTGGTGAGCAAAATTTTGTTATTAATGAAGCTCACCAAGACAAACATTACATGGGACTCTTTGGTGAAATAACTTTTATCGTTTATCAAGGTCAGTAAAACAACTCCTTGGCAAGCGATTTTTATTGTTTATCTAGGTCAATAAGACAAACATTTCAGGGAAATCTTTGATGAGTAAAAAAAGACCAACCTTTCACAAAATTCCATGGGACTGCTTGGTGAAATAACTTTTATTGTTTATCTAGGTCAATAAGACAAATATTTCAGAAGTCTTTTTAGTAAGCCAACGTTTTTTTTATTTCTATAGGTTAATAAAAGAAATATTTCACGGGACTGTTTGGTTAGCCAACTTCTGTTAGTTTTGTAGTTCAGTAGGACAAATCTTTGAGAGGACTTTTTGGTGAACCAACTTTTGTTATTTTTGTATTTCAGTAAGACAGATCTTGCAAAGGACGTTTTGGTGAGCGACTAATTTTTGATTGGATTCCTATCCATTTTTCTACAAATAAATTTAGAATCTGGCTCAAAATGTTCTTAGGCAATGTATAGACAAAGTGTAATAAACGCCGATTTTATCTAAGGGCAGTAACAACTTTATTTTTTTGAAAGTTATTTCAAAACATGTTATTCCAGTTTGCACAATTAAATTAACGTATTTTCTCTCTTTTTATCGAAATCTAACCAGATATTTATACATAGAAGATTTTTAATGAAGTGTATATGAGGTTAGTTAATTTTCTTTTGTGGGTAACTTCCACACCCAACATATAAACTAGTAAACGCCCCAAAAATATAAATGGATAGTAAAGAAGAAGTCCACACATAAGTCATTTAAAATCATTGGTCATCTGAATATTTCTATGGTTTTCAATTAAGTTATGTTCAATATAGCTGTACATTGTTAAGCTGAAGTTTTTTTACCAACTTCTTTGTAAACTGAAACTGGTAAGAACGTGCTTTAACTGGGTTCTTTTGGTTAATAATTTTTTTAGCATGCTCTGATCAATTAGATTTAATTTTTGGTTTTTCAAGTGGTCTGTTCTCATTGTTAATTTTCAGGTACTGGAACAGGAGTGGTCATCAACACCGGTGATCGTACAGTAATGGGTCGTATCGCTAATTTGGCTTCTGGTCTGGAGATGGGAGACACGCCCATAGCTCGAGAAATTGCTCATTTTATCCACATCATCACCGGAGTAGCTGTCTTCTTGGGAATCTCTTTCTTCTTTGTAGCTTTCATCCTAGGCTACCACTGGCTAGATGCTGTCATATTCTTGATCGGTATCATTGTAGCTAATGTACCAGAGGGTCTTCTGGCTACTGTAACTGTACGTGTTTTTATTGGCTTATATGTTTAAGACCCATTTTTTATACTAGGAAAGCTTGCCTGTTTTTTCTTCTACTTTTTTAAATGATATACCTTTTCACTTTTTTTAGCAGCCCAAGGGATTTTCTACACGCTCAAGGCCTAAATACACGCTATTATACAACCATAACATTCCCGTGAAAGCTATGGAATAAAGATCATTAAGTACTGGGCAAAATATTTGTAATCAAACTACTGTCAACGTAGGCCTCGCGAAAGACCTATTCCATTTTAGATCTGAATAGTATGATGATATGATTAGTAATTTTACTACTCCTTGATGGTAAAAGGTAAAAAAAATGAAAATGTCCTGATTTTAAGACCAGACTATATCGCATTGGCTCTTTGAAGCACAATATCCCGGAAGATAATTCAGAAAAGAGCTAAAATAAAATGATAAATGTTCAGGGAACAAATTTATAAAATTACGATATTGATGATGTGGTAAAAAAATTTTAAATCAATTATAACATAATAATAATAGAACTATTCCTCAGAATTATATTATCGCACTGTTATAAACCATTATATTAACACACATGGCCAGTTGGTTAGGGCGCTCGACTCGCAATCTGTTGGTCGCGGATTCGAATCCCCGTCCCATCAAACATGCTCGCCCTTTCAGCCGTGGGGGTGTTATAATGTGACGGTCAATTCCACTATTCATTGGTAAAAGAGTAGCCCAAGACTTGGCGGTGGATGGTGATGACTAGCTAGCTTCCCCCTAGTTTTACACTGCTAAATTAGGGACGGCTAGCGCAGATAGCCCTCGTGTAGCTTTGCGCGAAATTCAACATAAACAAACAAACAAAACATTCTGTGTATTTTGAACACACACAACACATAAATATATATATATACAAGCTGAGTCATAACACCTCCCAATAAAGGAAAATAATGCTACGAGTAGCACAATAAACCTTTCTTCATCATTGATTTAGTATAACATCACAAATGGTTAAAATGCCTACCACCATTTTTTGTGACTGTTGACCACGAAAATATTCCCACAAGAAGTTGCATAAAAATACAAAATACTTAGAATCTCTATTGGGGACTTCATTATAAAACACACTGTTTACTTTTATTTTACTCTTTATTTATTATGACTGAATTATAAAAAACTGTATGTTTTTTTTAGCTTAGTTTGTGATCACGTTGATTTCATACAATAGATAAATGTTAATTTTGTATTAACTGTCTTACAGCTTTATGAACTCGATTAGTGCTTTGCTAGTGATGAAGAAAGTCAATTGGCAAAAATCTGTTACCTTACTTTCGTGATCTACCGGTGTATCGATAACTCATGAGGAGAGAAATAATACACATTTAACAGATGACCCCTCAATATTAAAATGAACCTAACTTTTCAAATTAACATATTCTTTTCAGGTGTGCTTAACCCTAACTGCCAAACGAATGGCGGCTAAAAACTGTTTGGTAAAAAATTTGGAAGCTGTTGAAACCCTCGGATCCACATCTACAATTTGTTCCGATAAAACAGGTACCCTGACCCAGAATCGTATGACTGTGGCCCACATGTGGTTCGACAGCCAGATTATAGAAGCAGACACTACTGAAGATCAGTCGGGTAAATAAGAACTTTTCACCCATACCCTTTCCTTCTAATATTTTGTTTCTTATGATAATTATTTATCGTTACCGGCGATGGACAATTGTCGTTTAATTCAAGTTTTAATTTCTTAATAAAAATGTCTCTTTAATACTAAGTTATTCTTCATTTTATGTAGAACATAGGCAGACTACCCGAACAAAAGAGCATTTAGAGTCAAGCCTGATTAATTCTTCAACCATTTACCGATATTTAGATAGTGAATCAGAGGAAGCAGCAAAATCTGAGAAAAAATAGAATTAAATAAATTATATGTATCAAGAAAGTAAAACCTGAACTTAATTGTTCAGCACTAGAAATGCTTTGAAAGGTAGAAAAACAAAAAAGTTATTTATCGTTACTAGTTCAGGCTCAAGTTATATTATATTATTAGACCATGGTAAGATTATACCTAATTACCAAACCAGGATCAAGTTTTATTTTATTATTAAACCAGGATCAGGTTTTATTTTATTACCATGCCAGCTTCAAGTTTTATTTTATTACCAAACCAGGATGAAGTTATATTTTACTATCAGGCCAGGATCAAGTTATATTTTTCTTTTACTTGAGTACTATGCCAGGTTCAAGTTTTATTTTATTACCATGCCAGAATCAGGTTTTATTTTATTACCATGCCAAGATCAAGTTTTATCTTATTACCATGCCAGGATCAGGTTTTATTTTATTACCATGCCAGGATCAAGTTTTATTTTATTACCATGGCAAGATCAAGTTTTATCTTATTATCAGGCTAGGATCAAGTTTTATTTTGTTACTAGGCCAGGATCAAGTTATATTTTACAACCATGCCAGAATCAAGTTCTATCTTAAATTCCACTGTTTCGTGTTTATAATCAACTTACGACAAAAACTCATACTATGTCGTCAAGTAGAATTTACTAAAGTTTTATTTTTACTTGATGAACTGAAGATAAAACTAGATGATAAAAAATATTGTTTAAGATTATAATATCGTTCTTTAATTATTGATGAACGATTATTTAATAATCTCGATGTTCACCTTGATCCTCCTGGTGGCACAGCGGTAAGTCTGGGGGCTAAATAACGCTAAAAATCGGGTTTCGACACCCGCGTTGAACAGACGGCAAATAGCCCATTGTGTAGCTTTGCGCCTAACAACAAACAAACAAGGTTGACTTTGGACATTATAAGTATTGGAACTGTTCTTTCATGTTAAAAAAACAACTGTTTATGAGAATAAACTGCACATTCCGTGAAATAAATTACATTTTTATTCGCTAACTTTCAGGAGTTCAGTACGATAAATCTTCGTCTGGTTGGAAGGGTTTGTCCAGGGGAGCCTGCCTATGCAGTCGAGCCGAGTTTAAAGGCGGCCAAGAAAATATTCCAATCTTAAAAAGGTAAACACTTTATTATACTTTTGATATAAAATATTAGTAAAACTTTGATATAAAAATCCAACGTATCTCATTGTAACGTCTTATAATACCAAACAAAAATGTCGCATATTTTTTTGTACAATGTAAAGAGACTGGGGGAAAAACTGTTATAGGAAGATATTCGGAACTTTACTTGTAAAGCTACTGTATGTGTCTTCGAATTGCTGTGGACTAGGTACAAAAGTGTGTCAATACATGTGCCACGAAATACAAGTATTTGTCTGTCACTAAATACAGATATATGATGTGTCACTATATACAACTGTATCATTGGTGGCTAGGTGTGGCAAAGTGGGTAGCATGCCTGAACTGTAAATCCAGGGACTCATGGATCTTGATCCACTTACTAGGCTTCTTCTTTCTCTTGTCCAGAGTTACTGATAAGGGGAGGAATTCCCCGAACTGTATAAACTCTGTGACAAATGGCGAAATGAATTATAAATTGGGTTTAATATTTATTTTGTAGAATTTACTGAATAGCAGACATTGGTATCTACCATTCATTTCTGATTAAAGCAAACTTTCTATATAAATCAGAATTAAATATTAACCAGATAATAAATAGCTAACTTAATATGCCGTTCTCCTTGTGTCGGTTTTTCTGTCTGTAACAAAAATGTTCAAATTTTCGAAACTTCGAGCACCATAAAAGTTTTAGGGGTTTTAGAGGGTTCGAATATTGCTAAATAGTTGGATGAAAAATCGGTTGGATCACAATTATGTGATTCAAACCAGTTGACATCCGGGGTGTTAGAAGATTACTGAATCCTCCTTCGCTCCACAGCAGGAATAGTTGACTTGAACTTGCTTTGTTTTACGGGATTTTATATAATGTACGCGACAGTGAGAGACCGAGATAGGTCTCGTCCGGAAGGGCAGTGAAGACGGCGAAGCCAAGGCCAGCCAGGTCCATTGTCGATCCGATGAGAAGAAAAGTCGTCGACAAAATACTCCAACAAACGGGTCTTAACAGGGCTGGGCAGAGATCTATAAGTGAAAAGGTTTTAGATGGGTTCTAAAACCTTCTTTATTAATGTTTCCACTTTGACGAGTTTAAAACCATTTACTAATTGTCCCCTTGCTACTGCAGTCACTGGTAGCAGTGCCTAGTGTAGCATGATATGAAATTATGAAATCATACTAAACTTTTGTATATATTTTACACTATTTTTTGTAACTATTTTGCAATATGCTTCTGATTTGGAATTTTGCATGATTCAGGTATGTAAATTCTATTGAGAAAGCTCGATTTTGTGAATCAAATAATTATATTTCTTATAATTTAGGGAATGTTCTGGCGATGCGTCTGAGTCGGCCATTTTGAAATGCATGGAATTGGCCACAGGTAATGTTCAACAATATCGATCTCGTCACCCAAAAGTCTGCGAAATTCCCTTTAATTCCACCAACAAATATCACGTGAGTACTCACGACTGAATTGTTTTGTTTGAAAATTGAATTTACTGGATTGTATTTTACTGACTACAGTGAACCTGACGATATATAGGATTTGAAGACTGGATAGAGATATGATGTGTCATTTGATACAAACGCATCAGTAGGGACTGGGCGTAGTCAAATGGACAGCGTGCCAGAACTATGAATCCAAGGACTTATGGTTCTTAATCTACTGCCGCAAAAGACACGCTCTGCAGTTTGCGGCTGAGAGTGCCCTATAAGAGTGACAGTCAAATCCAATTATTTACTGTGTGAACTAAAAACGTGGAGATCGAAATACATACAAGACTGTGGTAATGTTAACCCTGAAAACTGTGTAGTATTAAGTGTAAGTGATTGGGAATATGTTCAGTGAAAACATTTTATGATATTGAAGTAATATTTGTTATCATACTAAGATCATTTTAATCATACCAAAAACAAGAAGTATGGGCATTTAAAAACACGTTTTTTTTGTAAGTCGTCTATATAAAATCAGTTTTCCAAAATGACAAGTCAGAAACACAGAACGTGAAAAACAGGGAATGGAAGTCCTTTATTTTCACTTTGTGAGAAATACTTCTTGATGTACATTTTATCTAGACAACTATATATCCAGTTTCAGAAAAGCTAAATCTATAGATTAATTTTGCTAATGTAAGTGCGATTTCGATAATTTTTTTTAGAAGCAACATTAATATTTGCTCAGATTTTCTAGACAGCTGCTGTCTTATGAAAATGATGAAGTTGTCTGTAAGGGCATTGGTCGTAAAAAAGTTTGTATTTAGCGAAGAAATACTTACAGACGCGTGATTTAACCAACAAACACAACATGGGACCATCATTTGATCCTTCAAGGCTGTCTTTACAGATCCATCCCCCAAGGGAAAAAATAAAAATTCTAACCAACCCTTTATTTTTCAGGCAAACATTGACTCATTTCTTAAGTGTCGACCTCTTATTCTGGTTACAATAACTCATTCCACGCGTCAATCGCCCTGTTAGAAAAATAAGACATAACTGGGGTTTAGCCTATCTTTACTAAATCTTAAGCTTGTATTCTTTCCTACTGTCTTTAGGATGCAGCATAAACAAACCAAAGACCTTTATTCTACCAGTCTCCCTGATGATTCTGTAAACTTCAATAGGACACTTTTTACCCTAACTACTGATTTATATAAAGATATTACTACCTTTTTTTTACTTGTAATTAATATGTTTGTATGCAATCCTAAATTTTTATAAGCTTCACTACATACAGAATATTGCTTTGACAACTCGAGTAAATTACGCCGTATCCCGTTATTTAGACTGAAGAAGTTACTTTCTGTTCTTTGTTGTAGGTTACAATAAACGAGTTGGAAGAAACCTCCGACTGTAATTATGTCCTCTGCATGAAGGGAGCTCCAGAAAGAATCCTTGGACGCTGTTCAACCATTTATATTAATGGAAAAGAGAAACCTTTGGATGAAGACATGAAAGAAGCTTTTAACAATGCCTATTTGGAATTGGGGGGCTTAGGAGAACGTGTAATTGGTAGGTATCCTGAAAATGAGGACCACTCAGCTACATCTGTAAGGTTCTTCTAAAACTAATAATGACGTTCTCCCAGAAATAAGCATAAAAAGATAACAATTGTTTTATTTTAGATTTTTATTAAATTTCTTAGATTTTAGGTCAAAAACTTTTGTCACTAAATCTGACTTGACTCTAGAGATGTATAACAGTTCACATATTTGTTAATTCAATACATTAGTTTAATTAATTAATTCAGGCTCGCTTGTAAAAGTTACAAAAAAGCCTGGATAAGGTTCAAACCTAAGGCTATTGATACTCTAAGCAATACAACTGTCAAATTGAAAATTTTAAACCCAAATTTTAAGTGAAATAATAGAGCCAGCTTCGGTGGCGGAGGTTATGTTTTCACCCTTGTGTGCATGCGTTTAGACTATGACCAAACTTAGAAGTGGTTAGATTTGGGTCAAAGTCAAAGGTCAAGGTTACAGCAAGGTCACGAAAATCAAAATAATCTCTACTCTGTTAACTTGGGGACCAATTTTTCACGCTATTTTTTTTCTGTAACTCAGTCAAAAATGATGGGATTTTGATGAAACATGGTGGACATATGTAGAATATTTATTCCTAATTGTCTTGCCAAAAATGGTCCAAGTCCGTTGATAACGACGAACATACGGACACATTTTCGTATTTTTTGAGGGCCAAATATGATGAACGCTGCGTGGCGGAGGTATTTGCTCTACTGAGTGCCACTCTAGTTTTATTATGTATTCATTGAATTATTTTAGATGACAATTGCCTATATGTGAATAGAATAAGAAATATGGATATTTACAAAAAGGACTACATCTTATTTAATCAACTTTTAATGTTGATAGGCTTTTGTGACCTCAAATTACCTGCTGACAAATACCCACCTGGGTACCCATTCGATCCTGATGAGCAGAACTTCCCTTTGTCCGGACTTCGTTTTCTTGGACTTATCTCTATGATTGATCCTCCACGTGCTGCTGTTCCTGATGCTGTAGCCAAATGTCGCAGTGCTGGTATTAAGGTATAGTCAGGAGTGTTGTAAATGTTGATATACATTTATATTTAAATCATAGTTGTATACTGTGTATATTATATAAACTTTTCGGAAATATTAAGAAGCATTATACATATTGTGTACAATTTTACTGTCGTGGTGTACAATACATATATTATATACTATTATATTTATTTTATTTCATAGTTTTCGACATAAAAGTCAAACGATAGGTGTACGAGTTGTGATATTTATGTCGTCCTATTTTGTGAATTAAGATAAATTATACATATGTGGTTTCTGTATGTATAGGCTCAAATAAATGAGGAGGTAGGCTCTATACGTGAAGTAATCAGTAGAAAGAGAAAAAAAGATATTAAATTTATTTTATTACATCAAAATGATTTTCATCTTCGTATTATACTCGTAAAAAGAACTATTAAATTAGAAAAGAGGGTCTTTAACAAGTTATGTATCTTAAGATTACAAACTAAAAGACAATTTAAGAGTTAGCAATAGAGTTATAGTTAGCACACATATCAAAAAAATAATTAATGGTTGAGTGCCAGAACAAAAAGACATTCATTTTCAACCTTAAATCTTTTAAACGAAAATGCAAATTGAAAATGGTTCTTTAGTAATGTAATGTTTGTCAATTATATTGTGCCTGTAGGTTATCATGGTTACTGGAGACCATCCCATCACTGCTAAGGCTATTGCTAAAGCTGTGGGTATTATATCAGAAGGCAATGAAACAGTCGACGACATCGCTGCACGACTAAACATACCGATAGAAGAAGTTAACCCAAGGTATGTCACAATATAAATAAACTGAGTTAAGTGTTTTCGTTTCAGATGCTCCAAATTCCTGGTTAAATCTGGAGGAGTTACTGCAAATTGAATTTTTTCTCATTATTTTTCAGTCGAACCAGGTGTGGCTGCTAGTAACGTGCTCATAGTATGAATCCGAGGATTCGTGGCTTGCATCTTGTTTCCACAAAAACGCGTTCCGTACCTGGGAACCATGGGTACGTTATAAAAATGATAGTAAGAGTTGGCTGTGGGTGCTGGCTTTTTGTGTAACACGCAAAAATTATAAAACAAACAAACCTTAAATAGCGCTTTTAAAACCGTCCAAGGATCTGCCTTACTCATCACTATATCAGTTTGCTTAAAGGCTTAACATCAAACGATTCTAAGTGTTCGAATATCCTTAGTTGCTTGATTGTTTAGTCTGTGGACTAAAGTATCTGAAAATCGTTGCTAAAATTATGATGATGAAATGGGGAACTAAATTTAAAAATTTTTCTCTTATGTTTTAACCTTAAAATCGCGAGTTGATCGTACAGAAATTGACATGTTTTGGTGGCAGGTTTGAACAAGAGAAAATATACTAGACCAATTCCAAATAAGTATCGGGTTTGTGTTCTTACTTTAAAAAATACAATGAAACTATCAAAATTGCGTTTTGGTGTTGAATAATCGGGTCATTCCATTTTGACCATGATTTGCAATGTAAAGATTTTTTTAAACATGTTCATAACGTCTAGGACACTTCAGCTATTTCTTACAACTTTCATTGGCTGAGGTCTGATCAATCACATCTATGAGTATAGTTTAACACTTAAACAGGTCTTTTACAGGTAAATTACTTTACAAAAAACAATGGATTTTCACAATAATCTTGACACAAACTGGAAAATAATTAATTTTCAGCAAGGTTTCTCTGAAAGAGGTGAACCGATTAGTTCAAAAGTTGTATTGTTCGAAAGCTCTGATACTGGAAAAGGCAACTTTAGAGCTTTTTATCGTTTGTCAAATATAGTGATGACCAAAACAGATACTAATATCTGTACTATATTCTCCCAGTTGTAGGGTTGATATATGTTCTTATCATCACGTTATAAGACATTATCAATATTTACATTTATGTTCATTGTACAATGCACGCTGTACAGGCTTGGGAGAAATACGTATTATATACATATATCGCAATTATTATAAGCGTTATTATTGTTTCCTCATACAATTAATGCTCACTTATAAAACTAAATGCAATGGTAATTTACTTAATACAAATGCTTTAAGAACACAAATCAGTGAAGATTGATAGGAGTGTTATATAGTGATTGAAAGTGTTTAGATATCTGTTAAAGAAATGAAATAGACTACAATTGCGCAATGCTACTCTGTTTTCTCACACATGTCTTGTTTTGTTACATTAGCAATTCTCTTTTATTTACCTGTCTCCCGGTGGGACAGAGGTAAGTTTACGGACTTACAACGCGAAAATCCAGGCTCGATTTCCTGGCGGTGGACACAGCAGATAGCCCAATGTGGCTTCACTGTAAAACAAACAAACAAACTTTTATCTACCTGCTGCACAGCATGAATTCATATTCGTTTGCATTACGCAGAATGGATTGAGATTTGGAGACAAAGATGACAAGATTTTAAAAGACAACATATCCATATTAATAACCAGTAAATAAATTTATCCATATTAATCGCAACAGTACTTGAAAGATAAGTGACTTTTACTAAAATTGAAGAACATGTTTAGAAACAAAATCATCTTCCATCTTAACTACGCAAATATTTGAAACAAGACAAATTTTTAAATATTTTGAAAATACATCATAATAATATTGATGTATAACAAATCTAATTTATCAACAAACTGTCAATATTCCACCAAACATCGTTTGTTTACCTGTCTAACATTCGATCTTTTGGTTGCAGAGATGCCAAGGCTGCTGTCGTGCACGGATCAGAGCTAAGGGATTTGCCTCAAGAGCAGTTAGACGACATCTTGAAACATCACACAGAGATTGTATTCGCTCGTACATCTCCTCAACAGAAACTGATCATCGTGGAGGGGTGTCAACGACTTGGTGCTATCGTCGCCGTGACGGGAGATGGTGTGAATGACTCACCTGCCCTGAAGAAGGCAGATATTGGTAAGTTAAAAACACAAAAGACGCCTATGGAAGGGCAAGATGACAGGAGATTATTTAGAGATTCGCTACTCATATACATAAACCAATACCGAAAACCGGAATCAAATCTCTTTGAATTATACTACGTTATAGAAAACACAAGTCCAAACTTTAACTTTATTATCATATATTAAAGGATTTAAATATGGTCTCGTTTTAATAGCCAGTCTCTGTATTCTTTAAAACATACTAAGATTCTTCCTAGAGAAAGTGACAGGATTTAAATGAGACTTTACTAGATTGAAAGTAAAACTCTGGATCGTACAAGGTAATCTATGGGCAGATAAATCAGTACTTCGTATTATTCATGCAGAGTATGACACACAGATAAACAGTTATAACTTCATGCAGAGCATGACACACAGATAAACAGCTATAACTTCATGCAGAGTATGACACACAGATAAACAGTTATAACTTCATGCAGAGCATGACACACAGATAAACAGCTATAACTTCATGCAGAGTATGACACACAGATAAACAGTTATAACTTCATGCAGAGCATGACACATGGATAAACAATTTTAACTTCATGCAGAGTATGACACACAGATAAACAGCTATAACTTCATGCAACGTATGACACACGGATAAACAATTATAACTTCATGCAGAGTATGACACACGGATAAACAATTATAACTTCATGCAGAGTATGACACACAGATAAACAGTTATAACTTCATGCAGAGCATGACGCATGGATAAACAGTTATAACTTCATGCAGAGTATGACACATGGATAAACAATTATAACTTCATGCAGAGCATGACACACAGATAAACAGTTATAACTTCCTTTATCAAACTTTGTTTCTATCTGAGATTTCGTTTCCTAGTAGACAGATTTCATGTAGCTGATAGAGGACACTCTACCCATTTGACGCTCAAAAAACAAACCAAGACATAATTTAAATGTCATAATTTAGTAATTTATCATGAATAAACCCTAACTTTTTGAGAAAACGTACCAACCACTAGTCCTGTCTTTTGAGGCCAAATTCGTTCTTTATCAAGTGGGTTTGATAAGCTACCTTTGTGAAACCTAGCCGTTGAGACGTGTGTATCTCTTAGAAGTAAAATTGGTTCTGAATTGTCTAAAACAACTCTTTTCGAACTAGCACGTTGAAACTTGTTCCATATAAAGGACATTCCATTGAACAAGTAGAGATGTTTATATTATAATTATGTCAGTGCCTTAAAATAAGCATTAACAGACAAAGGTTATGTGACTATCTTAAATCCTAATATTCTGTATCTACTAGAAAGTTGATGTTCTAAGAAAGGAATTACGGCAAGTTTCCTGTTTCACATTTATACAAACGTCATGTGTGGCAAAATTATACCCATAGATCAGCTTATAATAAAAAAATACAATATACCTTATATATATATATTCTACTGGTGGGTGTGCAAAAATTTATTTTTCAATAAATTTTGTTCAAGATGACTTTAAAAAAAATCGAATACTGAAACAAATTAATGGAGGGCTTGAGAAACTCACTGGCAAAAGCCACTTCACCTAAAACCAATTAAGATGCAACACTAGTTACAAGTGATCCTAGAATTATTATTATTTGGAGGGAGACGAGAGGGCGTTTAAAACAAACTCCACTTGAAACTTAGTCCAGAAGGATTTTGCCCATTTTCAGTAGCTATGTAATTTGTTTAAAGTTATAATTCTGGCGTAGTCAACCTAAAATTACATACAAAGCATTACAAAATAAAATAGACAGTCACGATCAAGAAAGCAAAATAGATAATACAAGGATAACGTCGGTTATAAAACTTTTATTTTCAGTGAGAATAGATCCACGAGCGAAAAGGGAGTTTGAAATTGAAAGCAGTTTCATAACAATAGAATTAAGGTTTGGTTTGTTTTGAATTTCGCGCAAAGCTACACGAGGACTATCTGCGCTGGCCGTCCCTAATTTAGTAGTGAAAGACTAGAGGGAAGGCAGAAAGTCATCACGGAAATTCAAACTCGCGAACCGTAGAATGCGAGTCGAGCGCCCTTAACCACCTGGCCTTATCTGGCCAAAACTACACGATGGGCTGTGCTCACCACCAGTAAAGAACTAAGGTTGCACTTACACCCGCTTTGTTACACGAAATGTGTTTGGAATAACTCATTAATTTATGAATATTTCTAAAAATCTGACAGAAAAAATAAAGACTAAGCTTTCTTCTGCTGCAACTCTTTCTGAAAGCCATTAAGAAATGTGTGGTTAAATTGAAATTGTATTTTTTAAAGCAGCAGCTGACCCAATTATGTACTAGTTTAGAGCTACCACAAAATGGCCGCATGTATGTATGTATGTATATATATATATAGAGAGAGAGAGAGAGACAAAACACAAAATTACCGTATATATATATATATATATATATACATGCATACACGCATATATAGCCATAACACAAAATGGCCATATATATATACACACATATATATAGCCAAAACACAAGTAAGTTTCTCCTGTGAATACGAACAACAAAAACATTGTTTTTCAATAACAGAGTATAATTCAATTTTTTTGACATATTAACTGCAGGATGAAAATTTGATTTCCCTTTTATTAGGGATTCTTTTTTTATTATTTGAAACTACATAAAATATTCTATAAGTCTTAATTTCCTATTGAATTTATATATATATATATCTTCTGCCAGTCGTATTTTATTAGGGTTATTCGTAGGACTAAATGTTAATCCTTTTGCTAATGACCATATTTCATTCTCTTGCAAATGATTTTCTGTTGAATTAACAATTTTCAAAAAAAATTGATCCTGTTCATCTAAAACTTTTATGGAACTCTATCATGCTTTTTTGTTTTTTTTTCAAATACCTAGGTCTTTCGTACAACCCATCTCTCTTCTTCTTCCATGTTGTATAAATATATATATATATATGTTTTTGTATCGGGTAAAGCTACATACTAACGATAGTAGACACTACTTTGACATAATTATGGCTAAAAATATAAATCACTTGAGAACTACTGAAAATCTGTCGTGATGTTATATACTAGGAGAGGTAACGTACTACATGGATTAGCCTAATTGAACAAAGCAATATTACTTTCTGAGTTGTTGTAATTATACCAAATGTACATTGTAAAAACCAAGCCAGTTTATTTGACTGACCTAAGTTATTGCAATTCGATGTTCATTCTAACAGGAGTTGCCATGGGGATTGCCGGAAGTGATGTCAGTAAGCAAGCAGCAGATATGATACTACTAGACGATAATTTTGCTTCGATCGTTACAGGAATTGAAGAAGGTTGGTATTTGAATATTGGTATGTAAATACTTATCTATAAAAAATAAAAAAGGCTGATATTTCAATGTATTACTTAGTTCGAATTACCTAAAGAAGTTAGTGCTTAAGAGAAAATGTTAAAAGGATTTTATGCACTTAAAACCATTAGTAAAAATTTCAGTATTTTGCGTTTAAAAATGTAAGAAAACGTTGTTTTTTTAAATTACTTTAAAATTCTAAGTATACAAATAGAATAATGAACATTTTAATTATGTAATATTGTTTATTTGGAAAACTTTCAAATTATAAAAAAGATTAGTTTACTACTTGTATAAATAAAACATATATTTATATAAGTTTTGCGACATTAATGTCATTTGCATAATTTGATATTTTTACCTCATCAGTCTTTTCGTCTTTATTGTAAGTTGCGTAACTTCACGTTGTTTGCAATTTTCAGATGACATATACATGTGTGAAAAGAGACCAAAGATATCTGTCATGATATATCGAAATTTAGCAGACACGAAAACATTACAGGTGTTTTTTAGGCTTTTGCGAAAATAAGCTCATGAATATGAAGTGCAGCGAATATATAAAGGAGACTTACATATTGCATTAGTCATATGTTGATCTGCTATTGAAAAACAAAAGTCAGGCCTTCGGTGACCAAGAATGATATATTATAGCAAAACTAGGTCTAACTTCAACAGTTAATTCTTGTTCTCACTCATCTTCAGTTAGTATTTAAGTTAGTCTCTGAGTAGAGAGAAAAATAGCAATACAAGTTGTTTGTTCCAAGACGAGTCATAATTATCAAAACAAATGAATGATGATCAACGTTCTTTTCTATGTCAGGTCGCTTAATTTTCGATAATTTGAAGAAATCCATTGCTTACACCCTGACCAGCAACATTCCTGAGATTACTCCTTTCCTGTTGTTCATCATCGTTGACGTTCCTTTACCCTTAGGTACAGTAACCATCCTCTGTATAGATCTGGGCACGGACTTGGTAAGTTCTGGTATTATCTAATAATAATACTTCAAACTTGCTCTGATTGCACTATATATATTAGATATGGAACAAATACTTCTGGTTGGGTTTCTTGAGATAACAATGCAATTTATTAAATTGTTGATTATGGGTCATGGTATATTCTGCAAATTTAAAGTCCGTACTAATATTTTAATTAGGTAATATATCTTTATACTTCTGGGCTTGTAAATATTTAGATAATTGTCTGAATTTTTGAATAATTATTTTTATTTTTATTTTACAAGAGCTCTGTTGTTTGGGGGTGGACAAAATCTACTTCCGCCAACGGAGTCACAAGGACTTACGATCTGATTTTATATGCTCATTAAATAATTAAAAACAACTGATTTCGAGGTTTATACACGTGTTATATTTTCGTGAATTATTGATTTCGATATTAGTTTTATTACATTAATTAAAAAAAAAAGGCGTTTGAAAAATATATTAATACTAAAATATTATAATATAATTAAACTTTATACCATTGTAGACACTTTTACAGTTTACAGTGATTTCTGTTTAGTTAACTTATATATTTCACGTAAACAATTCTGGTTTTTACCGTGATCCTCTAGCCTCACAGTCTCGGGTTACAACAATGTAATGCCTAAAGTGATTCTATGATTGAAACGCTGCTCAGTAAAAATGTTTTAAAAGCAATAAAACTCATTTTTTATTTTTTGTTGTTATTTACAATAAACTTATTAAATTGGGTACAAAGTGGTGATATTCAACCTGGAAACTACCCTTGTGAACTGAAACTAAAACCTAATGTTGGATGGCAGGCAAAGATTTATGACATGAAACGGATTTTAAAATGATAATAAAATACTTAATAGTAATTATTTTAGTTCCTCTTTTATGGAATCATTAATTTACTTTTTTGAGATAACTGAATATTATGTAAGCTAAAGCGTTTGAGTTCAACGGATTTTCTTTTCAATAATTTCCATTACTCAATTATTAAGAAGACTGTTTTTAAACAAAATACTTTTTACCTTATATCCTTCTTCCATCCTTCATGTTCGTATTTTAACAACATTATATTTTAATGTCTTGTTGTTGTTACAAAACCTCTAATTCTTATGAAAGATGCTTGTTGTTTGTAAGTCAACTAGCTAAGATAATTAAACATTGTTTTTGTGTGCAATTGTTCTCGTTCAATGTTAAGTATGCCATTGCTTGTGTGTGTGGTGGCTTAACTTCCACAGCTTCTGGTAAAATTTAAATATTACCTAGTAATGCTATGGGTGTATTATTCTAACAGATAAACCTTTTATCTTTCCTGTAAAAACTGTTATATGTTGTTTTGTTGTAGTGTTAGCAAATGTTTACAGTAATTGCTGTTTGTGATATGATAGCATGTTGACCATTGTTGTGTCCGAAATTGTGAACTTTGATGTTGTACGTTCTTCCAACTGTCCACTCTAGGTTCCCGCCATATCTCTGGCTTACGAGAAACCAGAATCTGATATAATGAAAAGGAAGCCTCGTGATCCGTTACACGATAAGCTTGTAAACGAGAGGTAACAGACGTGATTAATAAACACATTATATTTTTTACTAAAAACTGTCCAAAACAATGTAAAGGAAGTATTGTTGAAAAAGTTTTTTTTTATTAGTATTATGCGTTTATATGAAAGTAACGACAGTCTGGTGCAAAGTCGATACCAAATATGCATAGTGTAAACCAGGTGCAGAAACACAGAGTCGTTACAAAACCTACTTAGTGTAAACCAGGTATAGGATCACAGAGTCGATAGTATAAAACTAGTACAGGATAACATACTCTGTATGAAACCTATATCGTTTAAACCAGGTGCAGGACCACAGAGTCGGTACGAAACTTGCATTGTGTAAACCTGGTGCAAGGAGAACATAATTTGTACGAAAACCACATAGTGTAAACCTAATGCAGGATAAATAACCTATCCGAAACCTGCATAGTGTAAACCTGGTGCAGGAGAACACAATTTGTACGAAACTCGCATAGTGTAAATCTAGTGCAAAAGAACATAATTTGTATGAAAACCACATAGTGTAAACCTAATGCAGGATAAATTACCTATCCGAAACCTGCATAGTGTAAACCTGGTGCAGGAGAACACAATTTGTAGGAAACTCGCATAGTGTAAATCTAGTGCAAAAGAACATAATTTGTACGAAAACCACATAGTGTAAACCTAATGCAGGGTAAATAACCTGTCCGAAACCTGCATAGTGTAAACCTGGTGCAGGAGAACAAAATGTGTACGAAACTCGCATATTGTAAGCCTGGTGCAGGAGAACATAATCTGTACGAAACCCACATAGTGTAAACCTGATGCAGGATTACAAAGTTGATACGAAACCTGCATAATGTAAACTTTGTGCAGGATCACATGATCGATATGAAGCCTGTATAGTGTAAATCTAGTGCAGGATCAAAAGTTGATACGAAACCTTCATAATGTAAACTTAATGCAGGACCACAAAATTGATGCGAAACCTGCATAATGTAAACCTGGTGCTGGATCACATTCAAAACCTGCATATTATAAACCTGTTACAGAAGAACATAATCGTTACGAAACCTGAATGGTGAATATGAATCAGTAAAGAACGCAGCTTTGTGAAGATTAAAAATGCCAAGAATACTCTATGCATTAGTGTGCCGTCTTTTCAAAAAGTACTAAATTTTATGACCTGTATCTTGTATTTGTAATCTCGTGAAATTCTGATCATATAAAATTTGAATTCATTCCAACCAATTCATAAACTCCACACGGAAGTTCGCGGTGTTGAAGGACGGGTTTTGTCGAATAACCGACTCATTTCAATATTTTGTTATTGAAACTTCGCAGTGGGACCATCTGGTGGCACTATTTGATCTACGTCAATGTTATAGGCAAGAGCAAGCTTACAGGTATTGTATGTTATCATCAGGCAACGTTTCTTATCTGTTTCAATTGTTGCATGGTTTGCATAGCCTTCGTATTATGCTTGAATATATGTTTCATGTAACAGTGCATGCTTCCCCCCCCCAATCACCCTCCTACTTGTAACGATAAGCTAGATGTGAGATTCTTTTCCCTCTACCCCCTTTCTGCTTTTAACGATAAGCTAGATATGAGTGATATGTTATTACAGGAAACATATCCTTGCTTATCAGTAGCGATTCTGTCCAATCCACTAAAAGTGCTAAACAAGGAGATGTTAGGAAGTAAGTACTTTTCTAAAACGTTAACACTCAATTGCGATTACACTTTATGTCATGCGAAATGAAAAGCACAAAACTATAACAATTATGCTATATATATGTATTAATACACAACACTCGAAATGAAAAACAAAGAACTATACCAACCATGAAAACGATCGGATCAAATGGTGTTAAAGTAACAGATAAATGCTGCAAACCCACTTAAACAAAACTATATTTTACATTAATATCAAACAAACTCCTTCAGACGACTGTTTGTACACAATTAAAACGTACTTTATATATATAATTGTTTGTATGTGAAAGAGGTTTGAAAATATCTGACTTTGATTTTCCTTCCCAGATTTTTATTAAAATCAAAAACCGAATAAGTTGTTGGTGAAAACTTTCAATATTCGTAAAACATAAAGTGTTCACGAATAAACCAGAAGTGGGTTAAAATCAAAACTTAAAAAGTAAGGTGGCTCGATGGTGATACAACATAACAGTCTTCAAAACATAAAGTGTCCACCAATAAACTAGAATTGAGTTAAAATCAAAAGCTGGGTGAGTCGATGGTGATTAAATATAACAGTGCATGAAGTGTTCAACTAATAAATTACAAATGAATTAACACCAAAAGCTAATTAAATTGTTGGTGATAAGGTGCAAAAGTCCTCAAAAAATGAAATACAAGCAAAAGTACCCGTCCCCAGTGAAGAAAAAGTTTAGGTTAATCTATGAATTTAAATTATTTCATGGACTATAAAAAGGTTAATTGTGTTGCACTCTTGGTTTCACTCAGAACCAAAACTCTGAGCTACTTATACCACCCACCGCAACAAGTAATTGTTGAGCATTTCAGTTATGCTAAGAGCCGCTAAACAATAACATATGGTAAATTTACATTTTTATTATTTAAGTTACGTCTCATTTTGAAATGTGAATGATAGTGGAACCAATACCTGATAATTTAGTGCAGAATATCTTGCTTGCGAAATAAGATTTGGCATCAACATTATTCATGCCTGTTCTCCCGTCATTTCAAAAGTGAATGTTGAGTTTTGTCTGCGTGCACAGCTTTTCAAATGGGAGATAGAAGAACGCTCGGACAATATATATATATATATATATATAATAAAATTTACTAATAAACTACAAAATGAGTTAATATAGTAGGAAACTTTAACTCAGACTCAGTTTTTAAGCATAATGTTAATACTCGTATAACAATTTACAGAAAAGCAACTGACTTGTACTAAGTTTGTTTAAATCTTTCCATTCCTCCGGGTTCGTTTTCGTACATTATTAAACGCTTTATTGCTGTATGAAGTTACGATAATAAGAAGAACTTAACACATAAAGTAAATTGGTGATTACAATATTAAATGAACTGTAGTTATTTTTTACTTTATATTTAACAGTTAAATAACTATAATGCACTACTTGAGAGAATTCATTTGAATTTTTCGTTAAGTGACAAACGTTTTTCAAGTTCATGCGAAAAGAAATATTCAATATTGAGTAAAGTCTATATTAGCACTTTATTAAATTATTTGTATCCACGGTTCTTTATTAACATTTAATATTACTTTCTTTAAGCCAAACGAAAATAAGTAAAACCACAAACAATAAGACAGAAGTTATATATTCAAAATGCCACCTACAACCAATATCCATCGTTCCTAGTGAAAAATCACAATCCTATAATGACTCCAGTTTTGTTATTACAGATTGTAATACAGTGTCGACAAGCTTTTAGAAACAATTAATTAATTAACACGTTGGATTGTTTTAACTCGTCACTGGATTACTCCTACTCCAATAAAACGTCAAGTTAAAATATCAGGAATGCTAGGCAACATTAAGTAATAGCTAGCTCGACTTAGTTTTAGGTCATCATTGTATTACTCCCCCCCTTAAAACTTCAAATTAAAATAACAGGAATGCTAGGCAACATTAACTAAATGCTAGCTCGTCTTAGTTTTAGATCATCATTGGATTACTCTTACTCCCATAAAACTTCAAGTTAAAATAACAGGAAAGCTAGGCAACATTAACTAATTGCTAGCTCGACTTAGTTTTTGAAAAGAGACAATGGTAATCTACTATTGAGTGAAAAAGATCCAGTATTTTTAAGTGTGGTTTTGGTTTCTTTTTTTCGCCTGAATGACTAACCCTTGTTTACTTGAAACGTATATTAGATCCATTGTTTCATCGTATACAGTAGTCCATTAAACAACTCTTTAGGTTCCCGCCATTTCCCTTGCTTATGAAAAACCGGAAAGTGACATTATGAAGCGTCAACCCCGAGATCCTTTGAAGGATAAGCTTGTCAATGAAAGGTAAGTTAAGATAAAACGCCGTAAACTACGCTAATCTTACAGTTGATAAGATAAATTTATTGTAGAATAAATTTAAAAAGATAGTTTCCTTTGTTAACAGGTTGAGAGGTAAGACACTGTTCTAGTTGCTTTGTTCGTATGCTTGAATTATTGTATTCAGCACACAAGAATATTGTTTGTGTATGTTTGTGTGTGCGCGCATCTATCTGGTAATAAAGCTAAAACTAACTCGTAAACGAAATTCTGTGGATAAAACAAAACAATTGATCAAGGTAAGTATGTAATTTAGAAATTTTTAGGTTTTAGAAATGTTCTTTCTAAGACCTTCTTATTTTCGCATTAGCTAAGATCAACAAGAAACACGAGCTGTACGTTTTAATATGTTATGTCTTAAGCCAGTATTTCTTAGCCGGATTTTCCAGACGACCCCAACGTCCAGAGTTTGGTCGTCGCGATCCACCCCCCCCCCCCCACATTATCTCAACAAGGATGAAATACTTCTTGATGTTTCTTGGGCGCACTTCTTCATAATTCATAACAAAGGTGATATTGTGAACCTTTCAGACACCTATAAGACTAAACAACAAAAACAAAACATGTTGACTCAGCACAGACAGCTTGTGACTCCCCTGGAAACCTGCTCACGACCCCCCAAGGGTTCGCGACCGATCGTTTGAGAAACACTGTCTTAAACAATCCAACTCGCTGCACAAAACTCGAAGTGACATAGATATTAAAAATAATCAACTTGAAAACAACTCCTGCATTGTTTCCCCTATTTCTTTCGCGTGTACTCTGTTTTTTATTTAATTGTTAAAGTTATAGCTATCTTATATTTTACAGAATAATTATGAAATGTTTTACTAGTTTCTTACAAAATGTTTTAATTTCATAGTCAGGTAAAACAATCACTCGTTTTTGCTCAGCCACTGACTTATTGAAACTTGTATATTTATAGGCTGATTTCTATAGCATATGGCCAGATTGGGATGATTCAGGCAGCAGCAGGATTCTTTGTATACTTCGTTATTATGGCTGAGAACGGCTTCTGGCCATCAACACTGGTTGGGATTCGTAAGAAATGGGATTCACAAGCTGTGAACGATCTGATGGATTCGTATCGCCAAGAATGGGTACGTAGTTATTACTGACATTAAGAAACTGCTTTACACTTTTGTCGGGTCTGTTGATGCGTACCATCTAATACATAGATAAACTCAGTTTCGTCAACTCCTGGTTGCCTTCTACAAAACGATTTACCTCATGTGTAACGGTGTCTTTATAAAATTAAGAATGGTACAACAGCGCTATCTCGAACCATTTAGTAAATTATTATAAAACCATAGATTCTCACAAAGAAATATTTTCGAATGTGTTTATTCTTACGATGTCAGAATAAAATCACTGAGAAAACACTTTTCCTTATACTGATGGAAATATAGCTCCTTTATCGGAGTTTCTTATCTTGTAAAAAAAAATCTAAACTAGGTTAACTCAAGACTTATCTTAAAGTTTAACAGTCATCACAGGACCATAATAATTTACAGACAGCGATGTAAAATAATCCCTCTACTATTAAAACTTTTAAATTACTGTTATGTAAATTTTACAGTTCTATGAAATGTTCTTGTCAAACGTGAATTATTGAGGAAGAAATTTTAAATTTATGTAGCAAAATATCATTTTTTTTATAAACCTTTAGTCTCTGTATTAAAATGGCTGAGAATTCTAGATGCTTAATATTAAGTTTTGGTTTTGTTATAAATATTACTTTTTTTCAGAGACCTTTTAAGTTCAAAAAGCCGTTAAAAATGATATATCTTCTATATTTATATATATTATTTGTAGACTTACCACGATATATCTTCTATATTTATATATATTATTTGTAGACTTACCACGATATATCTTCTATATGTATATATATTATTTGTAGACTTACTACGATATATCTTCTATATTTATATATATTATTTGTAGACTTACCACGATATATCTTCTATATGTATATATATTATTTGTAGACTTACCACGACCGTAAAATTCTGGAGTACACATGTCACACGGCCTTCTTCGCTTCCATCGTGATCGTGCAGTGGGCAGATCTAATCATCTGTAAAACAAGACGCAACTCCATCCTCCATCAAGGCATGACGTAAGCCTTTACTTAGTATAGATATCAATGTTCTACATATGTTGGTAACACGACAGTCAAGTTATGTACAACAACACGTAACTACACCCTTCATCAAGGCATGACGTAAGCCTTTACTGAGTATAGATATCAATGTTCTACAGATGTTTGGTAACACGATGTGGCAAAGTAATTGGCAATCCATTGCCACTAGATCACACTCCGCGCTTTGAAGCCAGGGTGCTCTCCGAGAATGTCAGTCAAATCCCATTATTTCGTCAGATAAGAATAGTCCAAGAGTTTGAAGCGGGTTCCATTGACTAGCTGTCTTCCATCTGAGGTATCAGTTTAAAATTAGGCACGGCTATGCGCAGCTAGTTCTTGTGCAACTACGCGTGAAATCCTGAAACAAATAAACAGTTTACTGCCACCTAAATATGTGAACTATTTTACTAGCTTGCAACTGTTTACCAAAACGAAAACTTGTACCATTTTTCATTCCTATACATCTTTTGTTAAACTCTTATGTTTGGGAACTTTTGACTTGCTGTCTATTCTACTTTAAACAAAAGTCATTGAGACAGTCAGTTGGAAAAATTAGAACCTCAAACATAGATTAAATTGGTTTACACAACACATCAGGTAACACCTGTTTTTATTTTAACAACTTCTCCAGCCTGGTGAGAATAGCCGTACTCGGGTAGTTATAGGGTAGTCTTTCTTGACTAATTTTAGTCATTATGTTTTGTTTTCCAGTATGGGAACATCGGTTGTGTCTCTGTTATAGAAGTTCTTGTTAATAAAAGAATGTCATATAACAATTATTTTAATGCAAACTTTAATTACCCAACGCTTGTTCTATTGTAATCAGGGCTAACTCCACACAGCAAACATTTTATATAGAGAGGCTCTTTCAAAATTCGATGGACATGAAAGAAGTAACTATTTTTGGCAGACTTCAATATAAAAATAAATTACATATTGGTGAGGTTTTAACTTAGAGCGAATTTTTGTTTCAAGTAGATATTAAAGAGACGAGTAACATCGTATTTATTATTGTATTGTAAAAAATCACACAACAAATAGCAATAATATGATTATCTGCAAAGGATACACACAGTCCTAGCGGACAACTGGCCGATACAGATTTTATCGCAAGTCAGAAAAATAACAGCCCATCCTCTTACTGTCCAGAAGACGTTCTTCTGTCAGCGTAAAAGCGTGACAGACATTTTGAACTTATATCTAATACTACATGTACAATAATACAACACGAAAAAAATTAACAAAGAAAATCTAAGTACTGGAATTGGAGAGTGACAGTAAAAGCATTGCTATAGAGATGTATTTAAAGTCATTATAAGCCAGTTTACTAAAGCACCAAAATGTGCAGTTGGCAAATTATCCAAATACAACATGAATATCACTGTTTTTTGTCCAGAATAATATATTTTACGGTATTATTGCTTTTATCGAAACTTTTAATATTAGGACTAAATGAGCAATTTTTATTTAGTTGTTCAGGGTAAGTTAGAAAAAAAAAAATTCAATGCCCATCAGGTTATGTAGGAACATGACTCTGAAGTTTTTGGTGTGGATAATTATACGTTCATCACTAAATAGTTTTAAGCACTAAATTTGTTCCGAAGATGCAAGACTTATTCTTTCTCAGGAACCACGTCCTCAACTTTGGTCTGGTGTTTGAGACAGCACTGGCAGCCTTTTTATCTTATTGTCCCGGAATGGACAAGGGTATTCGAATGTATCCACTAAAGTAAGTACTATTCAAATCTCACGTGTTTATCTCTTCTTCTACTTGCAATATGTAAAACATTCATTAATCCCACGTGTTTTGTTGTTGTTGTTATTTTTTTCATATATCGCATGTTTTTCTTTTCTTCTTTTCGGAACACCTCAATTATCCTTTGATCACACACATTTTCTCTCTCTTATATCCCACGTGTTTACTCTTCTTGGATCACCGTAGGCATACATTAATCTCATATATTTCTCTTCTACACTCATTTAACGTGATCCGTATAACTCGCCAAGTCCTTTTCTTTTGTACTTCACAATAATAAGAAACACGTTTGCGAGTAAATGTTCCACGTACATGGATAATACTATCCTGATTTGGATCGTCATTGTAACGATATTCTTATTGATGAATACAATCAATCATATGGATGAATGAATTTTAGCTGGTCAGACTCTAATGCTAATGTTTTTAAAAGTCCAATGTGATATAAGTCGTTTTCCAGGAATACATATTTTGAATTATAAGTCTAACTATAAAACTGAAAATGCTATTGGTAAATAGCGTCAAAAGTCTACTCTGCACTTGGATTACTGTAAGAACCTGTAACAATCAACATACTTCTAAACTAACTTTCTACCTTGTATTGTTAAACGCCATGTAGAATTATCCTTGTAAATTCGCAAGACATTTTATGATGCGAAAATGATGAGTTGATGCTACGCATGCGCAACCTTTTGCATAGTTTTATTAGTTTACATTCTATTATTACTTAGTTTTCATTTTTACTGTCATTAGAACAACACGTATATATATATATTCGTTTTATTTATGTCTCCTGGTGGTTCCACTGTAAGCCAGAGATCATATAATAATAAAATTCGAGGCTCGATTCCTTCAGCGAATACAACTAGGGTAGCCCAACCTGCAACTTTGCGCTAAAACAAACAAACTCTCGCATTGAAGTATATTGTCTTATATCTCTTTGCACTGTTAGATGAACAGAAATAAATAGTTTTAAGATGTAAAATAACCTTGAATATCCCCTAATTTTTAACACAAACTGTTTGAACATGTGAAGAAAAATGTCCGAACAAAGCAACTAATATATCAGCAACACCCTATCTTGATAAAAGAGTTAGCACCAAGGATAACATAAATTGTAATAAACATAAAATAAGACCCAAAACTCGAGCGCTTTCGAATAGTTGACTATTCTTCTTCAGGAGAACAAAGGGTGACCTTCAGCCTGCGCAATGCAATATATAGTAGGACGTGTGACGTCATGTAAACTGGAAGTCCCAGTTGAGTTGAATCTGGTGAACAGCCAATCCCAACTCAAGCAGTTAGTCTCCCGGAAGGGAGAATTCGTTTGTAGAGAGAAAAAACTAAGCAATATTTTTAATTTTCATTATGTATGAAACTTTTGGCTGATAGAGAAAAATAAAATTGGAAACAACTGGGCTAAAGGTCACTACACTGAAGGTGCTGAACTAGTGGACACTGTCCTAGATGTTGTGAGGAAAGAATCAGAAAGTTGTGATTGTCTCCAGGGTTTCCAGTTGGCTCACTCTCTAGGAGGAGGTACTGGATCTGGAATGGGAACCCTACTGATTTCTAAGATTCGTGAAGAATATCCAGACAGGATTATGAACACTTTCAGTGTTATGCCATCACCAAAGGTGATTTTTTTCTTGTTTAAAATCAAATTCACAGCAGTTAAACATTTTTGACAAGTGATGAATGGCATATTTATAATACAATGATACTTTAACAGTTTGGATTAAAACTTCCAAACAGCATGAAACTGAATTAATGCACGATAAAACAGTTTATAAGTAAGGAAAGATATTAAATAGTTTTTTATATTCCAGGTGTCTGACACAGTTGTGGAACCCTACAATGCTACCCTTTCTATTCATCAACTTGTAGAAAACACAGATGAAACTTATTGCATCGATAACGAGGCTCTATATGACATTTGTTTCCGTACCCTCAAACTGACCACTCCAACTTACGGTGACCTAAACCATCTCGTGTCTGTTACGATGTCTGGAGTCACTACTTGCCTAAGGTTTCCTGGCCAACTGAATGCTGACCTTAGAAAACTTGCTGTCAACATGGTTCCTTTCCCTCGATTACATTTCTTTATGCCAGGTTTTGCACCACTTACATCCAGAGGGAGCCAGCAGTACAGGGCACTTTCTGTACCCGAACTGACCCAACAGATGTTTGATGCCAAGAACATGATGACAGCTTGTGATCCTCGCCATGGCCGCTATCTAACAGTTGCAACAATCTTCCGTGGACGCATGAGCATGAAAGAGGTTGATGAGCAGATGTTGAATGTCCAAAACAAGAACAGTAGCTACTTTGTTGAATGGATCCCCAATAACGTCAAGACAGCCGTGTGTGACATTCCTCCACGAGGGCTGAAGATGAGTGCTACTTTCATTGGAAATAGCACTGCTATCCAGGAAATCTTCAAGAGGATCTCAGAACAATTTACTGGTAAATATTTGGAATATTGATTATGTAAGTGCAACTCACTGAATATTTTTAAAATATACATACATTTAGAAAATAAATACATTTAAACTTTACACTACTTCAGCTAAAATTTCATTATCAACCAAAGTAAATAATACTTTGCAGTCATGAAAGCATTAAATAACAAGTTATGTCACAGAAATGGGCTTATATTTGATACTGTAATGTATACATATGTTTGAGTAAGTAAAAAAAAAACAAAGTTGGAAAAATATTACTCAACGTTATGTATTCATACAATTCAGTTACAAAAACTTAGTTATTTATTTATTTCAACTTGTTTTTAAGGCCTCAAAAAATCTTCATTTAATCAGATGAACACATTCAATACTATTGAAGTAGTGACAAGAAATATTCAGCACACTAAAGAATAACTTCTTAATTAATGAAACATTCTCATGCTTCTAAATATCTGGGGAGGAAATAGCTTCTTAACAATGGAAAATATTGATTAATTTCCCAATGTATATTTGATATTAATATTGCTTTCAATTGTTACTCTAGCTATGTTTCGACGAAAGGCTTTCTTACATTGGTACACCGGTGAAGGAATGGACGAAATGGAATTTACTGAGGCAGAATCCAACATGAATGATCTGGTGTCTGAGTACCAGCAGTACCAGGAAGCCACTGCTGAGGATGATGGGGAATTTGATGAAGAAGAGCCTTTTGATGAAGCTTAAGAATTAGATGCTTTCCTAGACTAATTTTTTATGTTTCCTACGTTCAGTAGTTGAAAAGTGACATGATTGTTTCCTAATACAAATCAAGTGAGATTGTATTACTTATGAACTTGTATCCAGACTTCACTTCCTATAAGAAAAGATATTTCAAAGATTTTTCATGTAGTTTTGAAATTTATTTGGATGATTTCCTCTTATTATCAACTGTCATTAAAAAAAATTCATTTATCGTGTTAACCAACAATTAATGATTGAAACTTTGATTTAAAACAAGAATTAATATAGGTTTTTCGTGATTACACACTTTAATTTGTCGTAACCCTGCTATATGAAAATCCACATTTATGAAGAGAAATGAATATAAAATTGACTGGTTTGTAAAATACCAATGAGCATTATTATATTCATAAAATGGTTTGTAAAAGACCAATGAGCAGTGAGTATTATTATATTCAAATAAGAGAATGTGAATTGTCTGTCCATCAGGTGTTATACAAGACCTTTTCTGTTTAGTGATTAATGTAGATTGTTTTTTATATTGCTGATACTAAGAAGCTTAGAAGAGCCAATTCAATTGGATATGCTCCTCTCATTCAAAATGACTTTGATAGCCTTTTTTGTCCATAATGTGCAAAATGAATTATACTCTTGTAAAATTATGCAGTTGAGTTATGGAACTTTGAAAAGGACTTTCTTCCTTAAAGTAACTAGAATTCGAATTTTCAATTTGATTGATACTTTATACAACATGGACTAAATGGTCAGATAAGAGACTCTTAGGAATCAGGTTTAGTAATTCCTAACTTAAAAAATACTGCCCATAAGAGCTTTGGTTAGCTATTCGAACTAATAAAAAGAAGCTTATAGTTTTGGTCTTGTGTCTCTAGAAGGTATTAAGTTAAGAGTACCTCAATTCAAGCTATCATGGTGGATTAATAAATGGAGTGGAAATGTAAACATAAATGTTAGGGTTTACCTAATGGGATTAAGCTTTAAAAGATCAGATTCATACTGGTAATTCAAAACATTAGTTTCTGATTAAAGTTGTGGAATGGTTTAACTGACTTGTAATGCATCCTTTTATACTTAGTTAATTTTTTTAACTAGTTTAGATGAGAATATGATGTGAAGAGATACAATGAGTTTGGTTTCATTTGAAATAGATACTGAAATTTGATTGTTCAATGAAGTTTTCACTCTGCTTATATCTCGGGCATGATAAGTTTATCACAGTTTGAGATGCAGTGGTGTTGTTAGCTGGTTGTTCAGCCTTGGTTTTAAGATTCAAATTAGGAGCGTTTCCTTTTTCCTTAATCTCCATTCATCTGTTTCTGAATTAGAATTTACAACCACCTAAGCAAAGACTGTAGACAGAAGCTAACATCGAACACTTCAAAATAGTAGACTTGGCAATAGATGAATAGTTTGGTTTCATTTTTGTAGTTGGTTGTTTTGGTAAGTGAAGAGTCAACTCGACAGACTTAACAGTTTTCTGCTACCTTGGTCTTTCTTAATATGTTTTTATTACGATTGATTATTCACATTGCCAACAAAAAACGATTGGGCATTAAATTCCACAACACAATTTAGGAACGTCTGATAAGTGTATCAAAATCACTGCTTAATTTAAAATTATAATACAGCTAAATAAGAATACAATCAACTTCTAACTTTTGAGCATCTTTTTTTTTTAGTAAATGCCTAAAGCAAGATGGACATAAACAGTTTTAATAACTTACAGATTTCCTACTACAAAGTCCCCCTTAATGACAGAGTCACCAATTTTTTTTGTCTATACAGTTAACTATACATAGTGTAGTACAGAAAAATATCTGGTATTGCTGCAATATTTTGTAATTATTTATGTGTAAAGCACACATAAATTAACTGTTTCTTGATAAACTAGAAAAAATGTCATGTTGAATAAATTTGGAAAAATGTGCAGCAACTAATAGCAGTTGCTATATTTTACACTAATGCTGTGGTCATAGCCATTAACAATACCATAATTTCTCCTTTTATTTTCCAAAATAAACACACAATAGTTTATTAGACTGGTATTATAATCTTTAATAGAACTTCTATCACCTAGATACTACTGTATGGCAGACTACTACAACAAGATAACAAACTGATGTACAGAAAAATCTGGAACGTAAATATTTTACATTCAGATGTTCTTAACAACTTAATGCTTCCTGAAAGGAATTTCTCTGAATACAAATTAATTATCTCCTAAGAAGCAATTAGAGCAGTCAAGTAAAACTTAAACTCATCATTAAACACCTTACTTCAAGTGAACTTGTTAGACAAATGGTAAATGGGTTTTTATAACAATGGATATTAGAAATCAAGCACATAGCACAAGGGGCAATGTGATATTTAGATATGATTATCCATATCTGTAAACATACCTCTCAAAATGACATCTGCAATTATTTAATCATGAATACCTTCAAACAATATTACTATTGGTTCATTTTACAGAAAGGTGAATTATTTTCATTTTGGAAAAAACAAACTAACATACTTTAATGTGTAAGCCAACTCTCTCAAACTGTACTTAAATAATACATTGTTGTTGATGTACATTAACCAATCAAACTAGAAAAGTGTTATTAACAAATGAAGGTAATGAATCAAACAGTATACTCATGCCTGTCTACTACTACTAAGTTCAATGGTCAGAGATTATTAAATTAGTCTAATTTTTCTATCTGTGCATGTTTACACAATAAAGCTCAAATACTATTCAACAGACTTTGATTCAAGCCTGCTGAAATAGCATTTTACTATAAGTAACCTTGGTTTATTTTTAAAACAACAATGCTTTTTATACGTAAAATTATCTTGTTCAAATTTAAAGTTTATAAAGACAGTATCAAGACTATTCTTTCTATAAATATCATACAAGATTATTTATTAAGACTTTTAAAATTTGAGTTCTTACCTAGTCTACAAAATATAATGTTCATTTTAAAATCCTGAAACTACTAGATAAACAGCAGGTAGCCTTTTACACAAGCTGTATCTTCTGGAATTTCCACAACTATATGACCTTATATTCCATTTGAACAAAATGCCCATTATGCCGAGGAAATAAATAATTGGTAAAGTCTCCCAAAAAAACACAAGATTTAATAGTTTGTTCAGAAAAACTTACACATTACAGTTATACATTAAACTGTGTTGTTAGAGGTTTTCTAACATATACAACCTACTACAAAAAAACAAAAAAAACATTTGTTTTATAAAAAGAGTTATAACTTAAAACATTGCTAGATAGTTTTACATGAAATACTTGAAGGAATAAGTATGTAATGAAAAATATATTAACAATATTATAGCTTCTTTCAACAATACTGACTTGTATTTTTGCTAAAAAGCACACAGCTTCTGTGGCAGTTTGGAAACGTTTTGAACTTAAAAAAAAAAGACTTGTTGAAGACATATCTGCAGTTTCAAAACATCTACCTTTAGTAGGTGAAGCACATTACACACTCCAGGGTAAATCATTACTGGAGAATGATTTAACCATCAGATATACTCATAATCTCTCTCTTCTGTCTCGTAAAATCCAACAGAAATCACAATTTATAAAGAATATAATGGTGAACAAACAAACGATGAAAAACTGAGAGTTGAAAAATAATATGAGATATTAATTCACACTTTGTGTATGCCTGCAATTTGTCTTTGGAAATTAGTTGAAACAAATGGAATGCGTTTAGGTTAATATTTTGATGAACAAATTAAAGTTTGTACAATGGTTATAATGTAACATGTTAAATGTAATAACATCTCAGTTGCAAAAATTATGAGCTTATGTTAAACTAGAAATTAAAAACATATTTTCAACTAAATAACCACACGATATGTTCCATTGCTCTAGCATCCTCAAAGTACACTTTAAAGAAACCTTTTTCAAAGTGCTAAAACAGTTGACTTTATCAAGATACTGTATTAGAAAATGTTACATACCAACCTATCTAAAAACATTTATTGGTCTGGTTCTGTTCATAAGACTTAGGAATATTAACACAGCTTTAAAGACTCAATTAAATTTTATTAGTTTTTCATTAAAGTATAAAATCATTCAGTAAATTTCATTTAACCAGAAGTTCCACTGATCATAACTTAACAGTTGGGTTACCAAATTGACAAACTTTTCAATTTTTCTCATGTTACTGTTTATTTAAAAAAATTCTACTAAAGCAATATGTACAACAGTTATTGCTCTAAAAGATATCAAGCAATCCTAAACTTTCCCTTCGTATTTGTTCTCTGGCTAATTGAATACAAAGTTCATTATGAGTCTACCCACTTAAGTTGGAGTTACAATGTTGAGCGAAGTTACAAGGTGAAGAATAATCATAAAAGTATACCGTAGCTGAATTCTGTATATCTTAAAATCAAAAAGTCTGAACAGAAATACAGACAAATGTTGAAACTATGCTACATAGATATGTTCAGAACAAAACCACAGTCAGTTAAAACAAAGTTAATTTTAGTACTGAAAAAAACCTGTTATTTTATAATATCTAAACAAAAAAAACCTAAGACAGCCAGTCCTAATGGTAAGTCAATGTAAACCTAATTAGTTTTTTTTTTCTGGTTTTACATTTTCTACTGTTTTCAATGGCAACAATTTACAAAGAAGTTATTGAAATATTTTAGTAATGAAAAACAAGGGGAAATGTTTATTGACATTCTGAAGTGGGAAATTCTTACACCAGTTTACAAAAAAGGCAACTATTGTAAAGCAAATATGTAACACAATTTAACTTTGTTTTTCTTTTAACGTTAAACTATGATGACCAGAATATCAATAAACATTTTGAATATAATAAAAGTTACTGCTCCCTTACTTGTTTTTGTATTATTTGTATACAAAAATAAAAACTCAAAATATTAATAATGCTTAAAAATTTCTTATACACACCTGTCCGGCTATCTGTATCATTTGAAATAGTATGTTTACACTTCTTTTCTTCTTTTTTTTTCCAAATCTCATTTTTTCAAATTTAGATCAACATTACAAAAAAATATAGCCAACAGAAGTGAACCACACACTTATTTCTGAAACAGCACACAGTAAAATAGCATTCTAATTCAGTGTATCTGCAATTATTGGACTTTAACTGCAACAGAATTGT